GGAGGCCGAGGTGGGTGGATCACTTGAAGTCAATAGTTTGGAGACCAGCCTGGACAACATGGTAAAACTCAGTCTCTACTAAAAATAAAAAAAAAAAAAATAGCCGGAAATTGCTTGAACATTCACCGGGAGCAGAGTGTGCAGTGAGCCGAGATTGCACCACTTCACTCTAGCCTGGGTGACAAGCAAGACTCTGTCTCAAAAAAAAAAAAAAAAAAAAAAAAAAAAAAATCAGTGATGAAAGGTGCCCTTTGTAGTCTCTAAGTGAAATGAATTAATTACTCTTTAACCCAGTGGCTTATACCCAAAGGTAAGCCTTTTCTGGGGATTTACAGATTCTGTGATGGTAAAAGGCCAGTTAGACCTAATTTTAAAAGTCCGAATTACATTTAAGTAAATATACTTAAAAAAGTATATTTATTTTATTTTATTCTATTTTTCTTTTTTTTTTTTTTGACAGTGTCTGGTTCTGTTGCCCAGACTGGAGTGCAGTGGTGTGATCTTGGTTCACTGTACCCTTCACTTCCTGGGCTCAAGTGATCCTCCTGCCTCAGCCTTTCAAGTAGCTGGGACTACAGTTATGCACTACCACACTGACTAATTTGTGTATTTTTTGTAGAGATAGGGTTTCGCCATGATGCCCAGGCTGGTCTTGAACTTCTGGGCTCAAGCGATCTGCCCACCTTGGCCTCCAAAGTGTTGGGATTATGGGCGTGAGCCACTGCGCCTGGCCAATGTTATTGTATTTCTTTTTTTTTTTTTTTTTTTTTGGAGACGGAGTCTCGCTCTGTCGCCCAGGCTGGAGTGCAGTGGCCGGATCTCAGCTCACTGCAAGCTCCGCCTCCCGGGTTCCCGCCATTCTCCTGCCTCAGCCTCCCGAGTAGCTGGGACCACAGGCGCCCGCCACCTCGCCCGGCTAGTTTTTGTTTTTTGTATTTTTAGCAGAGACGGGGTTTCACCGGGTTAGCCAGGATGGTCTCGATCTCCTGACCTCGTGATCCGCCCGTCTCGGCCTCCCAAAGTGCTGGGATTACAGGCTTGAGCCACCGTGCCCGGCCTATTGTATTTCTTTAAAAATTATAAAGCGAGGCATAAATACAAAGTACAGTTATAATTCAGGGTGGGCTTAATTACATAAATATATGATAAGTATTAAGTTTGTAAACTCAGGAGCAAGGTATAGGATTATAATCATGTTGAAGGAGTCTTACATTTTTGCATCCTAATATAGAGAGAATTGAGTAAGTTCTACAACTTGCATGAAAGATGATGTTAAATTTTTATTTCATAATAATGATATGGAGTATTTCCAATATACCTAGGGCACTCCAGATTAAGAGGATTTGATGAGACATTTTTGCTATGCCAGCTGGATTGAAAAGTAAATCTGTCTTTTAAACTTTTTTCCCTCTTTGTTGGTCTTCTGTCTTATGGAAATAATGGACTTGTTAAAAAATATGCCTAGGAGTAGAGTTTCTTTTAAAAGGATGTTCCCATGCCTTTATGGGGGAAGGTGACCGTATGTTTAGTATATGGGAAATATGGTCCAGGATCAATGTGTCACTTCACTGACTGTGATCACTTTTGCACATTTGTCACTGTCAGGGAGACCATTCCCTTTCTCCCTCTCCCACAGTTCCATTCCTAGAGCCCCTTGAGATAATGTGTATGTGTATGTGTAAGTCTATTGGATATTATACTTTTTTTTTGAGAGAGTGAGTCTTGCTCTGTCTCCCAGGCTGGAGTGCAGTGGCGTGATCATGGCTCACTGCAGCCTTGACTTTCCAGGTTCAGGTGATCCTCCCACCTCAGTATCCTGAATAGCTGGCACCACAGATCACCAAGACTGGCTAATTTTTTGTATTTTTTTATAGAGATAGGTTTTCACCATGTTGCTTAGGCTGGTCTTGAACTCCTAGGCTCAAGTGATCTTCCTGTCTCGGCTTCCCAAAGTGCTGGGGTTACAGGCATGAGCCATGGCACCCAACTGATATTACCTTTTTTTTTTTTTTTTTTTTTGAGACAGTGGTGTCATCTTGGCTCACTGCAACCTCGGCCTCTCAGGTTCAAGCGATTCTCCTGCTTCAGCCTCCTGAGTAGCTGAGTAACCATTCTGCGTCTGCCAGCATGCCCAGCTAATTTTTGTTTTTTAGTAAAGACAGGGTTTCATCATGTTTGCCAGGCTGGTCTTGAACTCCTGACCTCAAGTAATCCACCCATCTTGGCCTCCCAAAGTGCTGGGATTATAGCTGTGAGCCACCATGCCCTGCCCAACATTACGTTTTTTGCCTAGAGTTCTGATGGAATCTGTACTGTGGCAAGAAAAACAATTTTAATATTCTAAGAAATAGTTATTTTTTTCTGGAACCTAGAAAATGAATTTTTTGCTATATTTCTTTTTGATGAATGTGTTTTCTTCTGATGATGTCATTGCACCTCAATCAATCTTTGCAGATATTTTGCTGAAGTTTCTCTCTCCAGCCAACCAGTAATGATACCTATAAGTGTCCAAGCTAAACAAAATATTCACTTCCCTGATTTTGATAAGAAAATTCCTGTCAAAGGTATGTACATGAAAAGTATATGTGACTATGATAGAAGATGTGAAAATACACATTGATTATAGAGTACAAGGTCCATTTCTATATCACAACTGTCTGTCCGTTGCTGCCAACTGGATATAACTTCTTTTTTTGTTTTAAGATGGAATCTCGTTCTGTCGCGGCCAGGCGGAGTGCAATGGTGCGATCTTGGCCTCACTGGAATCTCGCTCCATGGGTTCAGTGATTCTTGTGCTCAGCCTCGATTGAGTATCGTGGGAATTACAGTGGGCCTGCCCACCATGCCCAGCTAATTTTTTTTTCTTTTTTTTTGTATTTTTAGGTAAACAAAAAAAAAAAAAAAAGAAGATGGGGTTTCACCATGTTGGTCAGGCTGGTTCTAAACTCCCCTGACTCAAGTGACCACCCCCACCTTGCGCCTCCCGCCCAAGTGCTCGAATTACA